CCCCAAAACCCCAAAACCCCAAAACCCCAAAACCCCAATTTGCAGGATTCTGGTTGAAATGTTTACAAATTATTTCTTCCTGATTGATCTCATCGGGGCTTTTAAGTAGACCATCAAATCTCCATTGCTATCAAGGGCCCATTCATTCTTTCTCTTTTTCTCTCCAATCTTCTTAGTTTCCTCTTGACCATCTTCCTCTAGCTTCTTCCTTTGCTTCTTCGGGAAAGCAGAAATTTGTCTTAGATAAGCGACAATTTCAATGAGATCCAGCTTTAATGCATTAATAATATACTTAACGTTGATCTTGTAGTTATTGATCACCATCATTAGCACAATTATGTGGCTTATCAACTTATCCTTCATCTTTTTATTACGCACATAATGGAACTTCTTCTCTGAAGCTCCCTTTGCTAAAGACAAGGTTGAGTATACATTCAGTAAGTGATCAGCAATGTCCTTTGGAATTCCTAAGTACTCTTCCAGCTCTTTAGCACTCATGGTAATAGTCTCCCTACATCTGTAGAAACGAAGGAGATAAGTAAGAAAAACAGCACCTCTGACTCTAAACTTTAAGTGCTTGGTATTTGGGTCCTTCTTTTCTTCCTCAACAAGGATTCTCATATTTGCAATAGAAGCTCCTTCATATTTGGATTTGATGGCTTCTTCATCTTCTTTTCCTTGCTTGCAAGCTTTATAAAGCTCTTTAAAATGGATAAATTCATTAAGTTCCTTTGGCCAGAAGCCACCTCTAAAATAAACAAACTCAGGCTTTTTAGCAGTCGCATCAAAAGCAGGCAGAATTTCTCTGAGATAGCTATTATCCTCCTGCTGATCCTGTTTCTTCAGATCCTCGTCAATAGCCTTCTGAACATCATGCTTTAATATTTTTGTCATCTGCTTCTCTGTATTGATATTCTTCTCTTCTACAATATTATTCTTAAGTTGTTGCATCTTTGACTGGGCTTTCTTAGTTCCAAATTCATTAACAAGTTGGTTCTTCTTCTCATAATAGTCAACTCCTTCATAAAGGTTATCCTTAAGGGGTTTGAATGCCTTGACATTCTTGCACTGCTGAGTCATTGTAAAAATACTGCCAACATCAATTAGTCTAATTTTATGTTTTTCCTTATCCCAAACTCCAATCATGTAGTCCGAGGTCTGATTTTTAGAAATGTTCTGAGAAGAGAAACTTGTTGCCCTGTACTTCATTAATTTATTTTCAGCCTCTATCACCATCTTCTTCGACTTTTTATTCTTGTGCTGGTACATGTTGAAGTCCAATACCTTTTCTTCCGCTCCTTCTGTCTTTTCTGCAGTGAAGAACTCTTGTGGAGGAACATTCTGAGGGAAGCTGCAGAGTATAGGCTTTGAGAGACTCTCCTGGTTCTGGTAAAGCTCTATTTTGATCTTCTTTTTGACCATAACAAACACTACTTTTTAATTATTCTATTTTTTATTAATGTTGGGGTTTTGGGGTTTTGGGGTTTTGGGGTTTTGGG